CCAGAGAGCCCAGGTCCCAGAGGTTCTCGATGGATCCTCACCCGATTTGATCATTGTCCAGGCTTCGTTTAAATCTCCCCGCCCCTCCCTACCTCTGGGTCTCCCAGATGGGGTCGGAGTGGATGGGGTTGTCAGGATTTCGCCGCATCGCCAATGAGTCGGCGATGCGGCTCGATGTGGGGTCCGATTTTCTTTCAGCCGACGTCGCGGATGCGTCGCCGTCGTCGGCGATACATCGCCATTGCATCGGCGATGTGTTGGCGATGCGGCGCGATCCTCCGACCCCATCTACGCGCACCCAATCGAGGAGACTCGGCCACGCGCAGAGGGGGTTAGGGGTAGGGGGTAGGTTTCTTAGAAGCACTCCTGGTTCTTAGAAGGTGCGTGCCTTCTCCATATAGTTAAGGCCAGGGCCTTCTAAGAAGCAGCCCCCCTTCTCAGAATCCGAGGCGGGGATTTATACATGTCCACCGCCTGGAGGACCGATTTTCGGAGACCTCGAGAAGTGGTGGATATGGATATATTTGGGCCCCCAGAGGCCAAAATGTATCAATGTACACCGCCCGCTGGGGCACCAGGCCGTCGGTTCCCAGGCGGTGGATATGGATAGATCCCCGCCTCGCACAGAAGCCCTCCCCCCTCCCCCTGCCCCCCTGTGCGCGCCGCCGAGAGACCTCTGCTGCCCGCCTCCGGCACGAGGATGTCGTCCGCGGTGCCGCTCCTGGGGTGGCTCGCGATGGCGAGGCTGGCTCCGCTGGCGCTCCCGCCTGCGCCCGCCCCTCCGCTCCACCGCGGGCCGGCTGCCGCTCCGGGGGGGGGCGCCCTCCTCCTTCCCCCTGCTGATCCTCCTCATCCTCCCTCTTCCTCCCTCCTCCTACCTCCTGCTGCTCCTTCTCCTCCTCCTTCCTCCGCCTTCCTCCTTCCTCCTCCTCCTCTTCTTCCTCCTCCTTCCTCCTCCTCCTCCTCCTCCTCCTCCTCCTCCTCCTCTCCTCCCCCCCTCTTTCCTCCCCTCTGCTCTCTTTCCTCCTTCCTGCTTCTCCTCCTCCTCCTGCTCCTCCCTCCACCTCCCTCCTCCTCCTCCTCCTCCTCCTCATCCTAATCTCCTCCTCCTCCTTCTCCTCGTCGTCCTCCTCCTCCATGATCCTCACCCCCCTCCCCTCCCATGATGATCCTCCTGCACCTCCTTCGGAACTGAGCGGCGGAGAAAGTCGAACAACACATCTACTCTGACGAAAAGACCCCACATGAAAATCCTTTCGGCGAATTTGGAAATAACCTTCACTGTCGTGCGGGCGCCATAGGGAAAGGGGCTCCCGCCTGAGACTTCCTCAACGTTCACTCACAGACGAGCCTCCCGCTTGAGACGTCCTCCAAAGTCAGGCCTCGGAGACCCAAAAGTGACGGCAGGTACAGGTTCGAGGATGACCCGTTCGGATTAGAAGCATGAAGTGCGAATCCCATGGGAGGGGGTTCCCGCCTAAGACTTCCCCGCAATTCACTCACAGACGGTACACCCGCTCGAGACTGCCTCCATATTCTAGCTAGGGTGTGAGTGATGACGAAGTGATGAGTGAGCGAGTGATGTTGATGAGTGGTGATGTTGCTGATGATGATGATGATGATGATGATGGTGATGATAATGATGAGGACGATCGAATGATGATGATGATGATGATGATGATGATGATGATGATGATGATGATGAGGAGGAGGAGGAGGAGGAGGAGGAGGAGGATGTGGTGGTGGTGTGTTCCTGCGCGGGGTGTCCAGAGACAATGATGCTGAGTGATGATTGAGAGTGTGTGCCTGATGTGCGACTGGGTATGATGATAGCCGTGGTGGTGATGCCGATGATGACGACGATCGATGGCTGATGGTAATGGTGATCGATGGTGAGCGACTGAGTATGATGATGGTGATGATGATGATGATGATGACCGATGGTGATGAATCAACGATGACGGGGTGAATGTGTGAGTGAGGCGGAGAGTGGGAGGGAGGTTCATGCGCGGAGGGTGCCCAAAGAAAACAAGAACCCCATGCTGGATGTGGGGAACAACGCATGCATAGATCTGCTCCGAGATCGGTGCCCCCTCTGGCGAGGCGCCTCCGGCGCCAGGGCGGGGGGCGCAGCGCCGATCCGAGACGCAGACGTGGGCCTCCGCAGGTTTGCCCATCGGTCGTTGAAAGTAGGTATTTTGGGAGTCCCAGATGCCAATCTACTTTGAGCGTTTTCCTGCTTCAGTCATCGAGTGGCTTTACCTTTTCCGTCCTCTCGATGGGGCGTGCGGTCACCCAATCTATGTTCAACGCCTTCCTACTTCATGGTTCTACCTACTTCTTCCGACCGATGGGTATGCTCACGCCGTTCTTGCTCCTAGGGAAGCAGACGTACAGTAGGTCCGCGTCGTGTCGACCTGCGGCGAACCCGCGCCGCTGGCGTTCAACGTTGAATGCCGTTGGCGGCCCAGAGTCGGTCGATGCTGAACGATCTGGCGTTTCCGAAACGGCCGCTCGTTCAAAGTTGAACGAGCCCCGCGGTGTCAGGAACCAGCGCTGGGGTCGACACGACAGGAACCTGCCGTACGTGCACATGGAGTTCCAATGGGTTCGAGAGTGCGCGTTGCGCGAATATTCATAATGCCCAGAAGAATCCCAGAAGAAGAAGGAGCAGAAACACGTCATAAACATTAGCTCTTGGCGCTCCGCGCGGACTTCTTGGGTCCGCGTCAGGGCCCCCCTGGCGGCGCCTTCGGCGCCGCCCCTGGCGCGCTCCGCCCGCCAGGGAGGGGGGTCCAGCGAAGATCCACGCGGAGCGCCAAAAGTTTATGTCGATGCCTCTTCTTCTAATAATGTAGCGCGTGGCGGGCCTCGCGGACCGGGAGTCCGTATTCATGTGAGCGCGTTTTTTTTTGCGTGGCCCCCCTGAGATTTTTCTCGTCTTGGTCTTGCGGGAAAGAAGGTATTTCTCGCCTTCTCTGTTTCGCCCCTTGAGATCTTTCTCGCCTTCTCTTTCTCGCCTTGAGATCTTTCTCGCCTTACGACGGCCGGTTCTTGGTAACGTTCGGCCTCCTGGGGCCCCTGCCCCGGGCCACGGGGCTGCCAGCGAGCGGTTCGGGTGGATCGCCAGGCACGTTGAGGGGTCCGGACCTCTGGGGAGCCACGCTGCGGACAAGTCGCGATGTTGGGGTTCTGGGTGTTGCTAACGCGTGTCGTCCTCGTCGCCCCCTCCCACGGACTTTCTCCTTCTTCCTCTCCCCTGGCGGCTCGGACTGAGCCCACTTGAGGGTAAGCCTTGTCCGAGCGGTCCTCTTTCGTCTCCTGCCGGGGTGTACTGAGGTCTCTTGCAAAGCAGGGTTGAACTCGGCTCGAGCAGCCTTTGTTCATACACTTGCCATTGCTGGAGGATCACGCGGGTGAGCAACAAACCCCTCCTCCACCTCTCCTTTCCCGTCTCTCCCTCGTCTTCTTGGCCATGCGCATAGGAGAATAGGGGGAGGGGAGAAGGCGTCGTAGAAGCACCCCTTCTTCTTAGAAGGCGCGGGCCTTGTCTGTAGTCTGGCGCTTTCTAAGATGCAGCCTCTTTCTAAGAAGCCTTATATCCTCCTCATACCCTTTTGTGTGCGCCGCCAAGCTCCTCTGCCCCGCGCCTTCCCAATCGGCCTGATTTTCCATGCTCTAGCCTTTCTGCGGCTGACTTGCCACCTCCAGCCCGGCCCCGTCCTGTTCTTCCACCCCCTCCCCCAAACATACTGCGTATCCTACCCTCTCCTGTTGCCTCCTCAGTCGTTGTCGCATCAGGTTACTGTTCTACCTTCTCATCGTTTTGTGGGTTATCCTGTGTTCCATTCCTGTTCATCCTGTGCCCCTCATGCTCCTCTTCTTACCCTCCTCCCGCTTCATCCTCGTATTCCTCATTATCGTCCGCCGCATCCTCATCCCTCCCTCGCTGCTTTCTTCCTCTCCTTGCTGCTTGATGTTTCATTTGTTCCTCTTCCGCCTCCAGTTCTGACGTTCCCGAGCGAAGAGGGAAGACAGTTACGCGATCACCTTACTGTAACAGTACCTCGAGGTCATATCTAAACATTTAGTTGTTCTTCGTCCGCTTGTCTTTCTTTTTGTGTCCATCTCGTCCTGTTTATTCCTTGAAAGCGTTTCGCTAGAGGGGTCTCATAGTGCCCAGTCAAGAGGACAACGTAATAATTCTACAGGGTGGGCGGGGAGCCCTAGACCGCCCTGTCAGGCATTTGTGTCGCACGAGTCTGCTTCATGATTCATTCAAGGATCGTGTTCTGGCCTCAATGCTGGTTCGGTGTTTGGTCAGTATGGCTAATTAAACAGAGGGGGTTAGGGGTGGGAGCGAACATACGGTAAGGTGAACATGACCATGTGTTTCTTGGAAATGCCTACAGGTACATACTAATGCACGTTTCCACTAGCCGACCTCCAACTCTTCGACCCGCCTCTTCACCGTTGCTGCTATTTGGATGCTTTGCCGGGGTAAGTCTGCTCATGGTTCCACCTCCCCTTTCTGCGCGACGACCGCCAGGAGGCGACTGCTCTGGTCCGTTGGGCAATAAGGGGTCCATGGTCGGACACGTAGCTCCTTCCAGGCTCATCCAGTCGAGTGTTAAGTCCTGCGCGTCCCTCTTTAGGAGGAAATTTCAAACATATTCAAAACATAGTATTGGTTCGTGATTATTTTCTTGCTTGTGAATGGTATGTAGTATGTTTGATGCTTCGTCCAACATCCCCCTGTAGGGGCACATGCCCGACCTCAGTCGAGTGGTCCCTCGCTCAGGCTTATTGGCCCTTGGTCGATCTCGGGAATGCCTCCCAGGAGCTGCTCTCCTTGGCCACGCGCGCAACGGGGGCAAGGGGTATAGGGAGGAAGGCTATTTGGAAGCGACCCTGCTTCTCAGCTTGCCTGCGATGTCGAGCTGTGGGGGGATATGGGATCTATGTACGTACGCACATCCAACTGAGGCGCCCATATCTCCAACTCTGGCTCACCACTTCCGACTCCAGCTCCCATCTTTCCGAACACGGCCCCCATTTTTGTCTCCGAATCCAGCGCTCATTTGACCGACTCTGGTTCTCAACTTTCCGACTGCAGCGCCCGTCTCTCCAACCCCAGCTCACAATTTTCCGATTCCATTTCCCATCTCTCCGATTCCGGCCCAATTTTCCGAGCCCAGTTCCGATCTTTCCGACTTCGGCTCCCAATATTCTCCAGCTCCCAACTTTCCGACTCTGGCGCCCGTCTACCCGACTTTGGTTCCCAGTTTTTCGATTCCAGTTCCCATCTCTCCGATTGGCACCCGAATTTCCGACTCCAGTTTCTATTTCTCCGACTCTTCTGGCTCCCATCCGACTCCAGCTCCCATCTATCCGATTCCGGTTTCAAGCTCTCCGTTTCAGGTTCCCAATTTTCCGACTCCGATTCCCATCTTTCCGACCCCAGCTCCCATCTCTCCGAGTCCAGCTCCCAATTGTCCGACGCCGACGCCTGTCTCTCCGATTCCAGCTCCCGGTTGTCCGACTCGGGCTGCCAATTTTCCAAATCCAGCGCGTGTCATTCTGACTCCAGCTCCCAAGTTTCCGACTCCAGCTCCCTGTGTTCCGACTTCGACCGAGTTCCGATGTCAGAATTGAGGCGGCCCGGCGCACCCGCCGTTCCTTACACGGCATGCCCTCTGGGCGATATCGGCGACGCTCCGCTCCGCTCCGCCCCTGCTTCTCTGAAGGCGCGTGCCT